CGCCCCTTATCACAGCATGATATTGAACAAAGTGCCCAACAATGCATGGACAAAAAAAAATATCCAAGACTGGTTGACAAATCAAAACATACCATTTTTAAACACAATGTTTAAAACAGAGCTATTGAGTATTGTTGCTCGGTACATAATGCTTCTTAATTATATATATTTTGGTCGACAGTTTATATTTCTTGTTTATTCCTATTCTTAAAATAACTGCTGTTTTAGAAACAAACCACCTAAAATATACGTGATTGATGAATTGACGGAACAACATGGGCACAAAGTTCTTCGTCTGCCTCCTTACCATTGTATATTTAACCCTATTGAGTTAATTTGGGGCATAGCAAAAGGTTACTATAACAGACATATTGGTAGAGATGGTAACAGTGAAAAAGACTGTTTGGATATGTGGAACGAGGCTCTACAAACGGTTACCCCAGACATGTGGAAAAATAGTGTTCGACATACTGAGCAAGAAATTTTTAAATGGTATGAAAGAGAACGAATTTTTGATCGACCAGACATCGAACCTTTAATAATCAACTTTGAGAGTGATGAAGATTCAGATTCAGACAGCGCTGAAGAAAGAAACTCCGACTAACTTTATTGTACAGAAAAAGCTTACACCAGTAGCTTACCTAATTTTAGAATGCATTTTTCTGTATGAATTCTGTAAAATAAATACCATGCATAAAATTTGGAGGACCCCATTTGGATTTTTATTCAGTACCTTTAAGCTATCAATTAAATATGGTAGTTTCATAGTGTCATCTGATCAATAATTGTCATACTTAATGATTATGCAAGTACAGATCTATAATTTTATTATACTATTATTTTTGTTCTCATTTGAGGTTAATATTGCTTATAAACCTAGATATGTAAATAATAAATTTTATTATTTTACAAAAAGTTTGGCAACAATGTAAATTTTTCAACACACCCACCTTGATGACGTGCACGCCACTTTGTTTGGCGTTGACTATATAATAAACGAGCCCTACAATAATTGTAGGGATGACTGACGATACGGGCCTAAAACATGATATGGTCATTAGTATGATGTTCGTTTACATACTAAAGCAATTTGGAAAGGCAGTTATCAATATAGCTCTGACTATTCAAAGCATCTTGGTATTCAAAGGTGTTGCGCTTGAAAGTATTTGGCCCACTTAAGTCTATTTCGATAATTAAGACCATTGTCCTCAATTCCAACGATATACTCTTAGTAGATCTGTATTGACGAGCCAGTCTCCGTGTTGACATTTCAACCTGACTTTTTGCTCTTGTAACCAATCTCTCTGACCTCTGTTCAGTAAATGCACGACGTCTTCCACTTTTTGAGAGATTCAAACATAGTATTCCCTGCTCGTACTCATCCAAAATCTTTAGGACATACGTTACAGTGCTTTTCAGGAGATTCAGAAGAGACTCTGCTCCTACTTATTTTTTGAGAGGGTCAAGTCAGAAGTCAGAAAGCTGAAATTTAGGATAATGAAATTGATGAATGAATACTATATTTAAGCGTAAAAGTTGCGGTTACAAATTTTAAGATGGTGACTGGGCGCCATTTTGCATTATACTTTAAATGGACCTCACATATTGTAACATTTTACCGATCTAGCAGGATTCAATTAAAAAGCGAAAAACGGATTATTGATGAAAACTCGTGGTTTTGTGAAGAAAAATGTCCCTGTAGGATAGATAGACGCCTCGTTTCAATATTAAGTTGCCTATTATTTGGTAGGGGCTACCCCAAGTGCACTTGACGTGGTAACAAGATATCATACAGAATTTACCCTACAACTGGATTTGTATATTAAGTATTATTTTTGGAATAGGTTTGGTTCATTTAGGTTTCAACTTCTGAGAGAACTTTTTCACATAAATAATATCATTCAGAAGACATTGAGCAAGATTATAATTTACAATAAATGGAATTTATTTTTGTTATATTCTGGACTATTACTTTAGTATACCATATAATGCCGATATCTGAATTTTTTTTCCAAATACTACAACAGCTTATCTGTCTAATGGTAGTAAATTTGTCTGCTGTCTTGTCTTGGTTCTATTTGTTATTAGAATCTGTACACGCGTCATCTGAAATCTCTTTATTAAACAGAAACTTAAGACGTTTTGAACAACCAATCATGTTGCACAGGTTGTAGTTCAGGGACTATCATGTAGCTGTCTCAAATAGACTGCGTAAGTTTTGTGAAATGATGCTATGATAACTATGACAAGTTGTCACAGGGTAAAGCCTACTTGCTATGTTAAGGTGACAGCTCCCTTTTATGTCGCTTGAAGCAGGAAACTCGCATCTTCGTTCGATTCTCAGGTCTAAATGGCATCAAACAGATAATATTCTCTGACAATACGATACCCGTCTTCTCATTTATGTAGTATTTAAATACTAAGTTGAGAAGTTTTTATTTCAATGAACAATGGATAGTATATCGCGATGCCTAGCAAGGGGCCACACTATACAGGGTGACTTTGAAGTTGAGTCATTAATTTTCAGATAATGATTGTAGAAGGAAGATAAACCAAAATATGTGTGTAAAAATAAAAAAAAAATTAAAAAAAAAATGTTACATTGTTTTATAAAGTATCCTCCCGACAAGTATTTCAGTGCGGACCTGTGCGCCCAAAAGCATGTCACAAAAACTGTTCGAAATGATTTCCGTTTTGCTCGACGCACAGCTGGGCGCGTCTTAGCCATGTCTCTTTACAAGCACGCAATAAAATCACTGGTTGATTTCTGATCACTGTACTCATTTCCTCAATTCGAGCACGTAATTCTTCGCGTGTATTAACCGGTGTTTTATACACTAGAGTTTTTAGCCAACCCCACAAACAAAAGTCTAAAGGATTTAAGTCCGGAGACCTTGGCGGCCAAGGTACAAAACCGCCACGGCCGATCCAACGATTATTAAATTGTCTATTTAAAAATTCACGCACATTTCTTGCATAATGGGGTGGTGCCCCATCTTGTAAAAACCACATGTTTTGTCTAATATTTAAAGGCACATCTTCCAGTGAACCAGGCAAATTGTGTTGCAAGAAATCAAAATAATTTTCACCAGTTAAGCGATTTGGTAATTCAAAAGGCACCACTAACAATTCCCGCCCACAGGTTGATTGGTTCAAATCGCTGTTGAAAATTGGTTTCCCTTATTTCATGGGGATTTTCAATAGCCCAAACGTGAGAATTACGTGAATTAATAATTCCGTTTCTAGTAAAGAGGGCTTCATCACTCACTAAAATTTGATTTAAAAAATTGTCATCATTTTGATGTTTATTTAAAAGCCAATTGCAAAAGTCAACCCTTTGTTCATGATCTTCCGGTTGTAAGGCCTGCACTTTTTGTATGTGAAACGGATAGAACTGATTTTCACGTAGAGTTTTCCAAGTTTTATACTGACTAATCGCCAATTGAGTTGAAATTTATCGGGTGCTTACTGTTGGATCATCACTTACTAATTCTAAAATTTGTTCTTCTAGTTCTATTTGATCGTGTGGTCTTGGAGCACCGGCATGATCTCCTCTGTGAGGTCTTAAGTCACCTGATTCACGAGCTCTTTGCACTACATTAACAAAGGCACGAGGGGTTGGTTGCACTCGATTGGGAAACCGATCCGCATAGATCCGTGATGCCGCGGCAGCATTTTGTAAAGACTCCCCGTAAATAAGAACCAAGTCCACAAGTTCAGCATTTTCGTAAACATGTGCCATTTTTGATTTGAGCCTCGCAACAGACACGATTATTCACTTACGCGTTACCGACTACCGACTGATACTGACTGTATACAACTGAAGAAAATAATTGTAAAAAGATCGTTCCAAATTCTTTCGCTTTTTTGTTTCCGATGCGATGAACGGATAAGGCGGATTATATCTGTTGTTGCCAAACACGAGAACATAATATCATTATTGAGACAGGGCGGTACTCAAACTTCCAAAGGGCTATAACTTTGTTACTTTAATTTTACCAGAAAAATGGTAAAGGAAAAAAACATTTGTTTTGATCAGATCTACTCACTGTTAAAATAAATGACTCAACTTCGAAGTCACCCTGTATATACAACTTGCTCAAATACGTGAAGCGGATTGAAAGATTGTTTCCCAGTTTTTGTGATGTCGATTGTATAGATTGATCATTAGCTACGAGGCGGCGGCAGCGAGATTGCGTTATGCTGGAAGCTCGCTTCCTTCTCGTAGCGCGGCGTCGACGAAGACGAGATAGCTACAGCCGGTAAACTTCAAATTCTTATTCTGTAATAGTTCAGATATCACCTGTACTGATAAGACAGGTGTTACGAGTCGGAGTGCCAATTTATGATTTAATATCTTCGAAAGGTTGCTAGGAATGAAAATATCAATCCGCTTTGGTACATCACTGAACTTGTCTAAAAAAATGTTGAAAATCCCCCTTTTTGCGCTTCAATCTAGTTATTTCGGTTAATACCATACCTACCTAAACAATGCTCAAAAAATCAGGAGGTATATGATTATTAAAAAAATAAAACCACTTTTATGCTTTACAAGTACGAGCAATATCCGAAATGATAAAAATATTACTTTTTTGGTTGTTCCATCATACATATGTATACATCACGAAAAATCATAACTTATTTTCGTCAATCTGTCAGTAGTCCAATATGAGCATTCTCGTGCTTGTAAACGCGTCATGTTAATCAAAGCTACATCCATTTTCATGAAATTTCAGGACTAGTGGTTGTGGGTAGTAGTATATAGTTGAAATTCCACTGATTTGCAGTGAAATAATTAGCAGTTCTAAGTTCTCTCAATGACCATGCCAACTGTAAAACGTCTTAGTGGTTCTGTCCCCTATCAAGAACGTGTTGTATAATAGAAATGAGTCGACGAAAGGTGTGGTTAGGTGTTATGGCATTGTTGTCATCTCAATGACCATGCCAATTGTGAAACCTCGTAGCGGGTCGGTGTTGTACAATAGAAATGTTGACAGTATATTGTTTGTGGACTACCCGAAGTTTATCGGGGTTGTTCAAATGTTTTGTATGCGCCTGTGCAGTAACGTAATCTAGCCCTGCTAGTTATTATATAAATGGTGAAACAACAACAGCTATGATCATCCAAATTCAGTCATTTAACGTCGAGAAATAATATTCTTGAGGTACCTAACAGATATAATTTGGTGAGCATCCTATAGTATTTATCCGACACTATATTTATTTTTTAATAATATCTGTCACTACCTCTGCATGGCATGAAATAAACAATAAAATAAATTGCGAATTCGACAACAATGTACTATCTACGACATTATAATCATTAACTGTAATCAAACCTTATCCTATTAACAATATTTCAAATACTCAATGAAAATTTGGACAATGTCTAGCAGCAACTGATCTTAATTGTAATGCTGAACAGTGTAGGGTTTGGCCACCCAAAAGAGTGCTGGAAAAGATGTCCAAAATTATCATTAAGGATATAAATGAATCCCAAAACAAATATTATTTAGCATATATTGGCCAAAGCTCACCAAAGACACCAGGTAGTCGTTCACAATATTTGATGAAATTTGACTTTGTTCAGTAGTAATTTGTTCATAAATATGAGGTAGTATAGGCTAATATGTTGGGTATAAATCATATAAAGGTTTAGATCAGAACTGGGTTAGGAAAATGCAGCAAGTAAAGTTGTTTTGACAAATATCATGTTCCAGTTGATATTGACCATTATATTCACCTTTCCAGAAGCAGAACACCCCCTCTGGTTTGACAAGATGTAGATGCAATATACATCATTGCATTGGCCTGAACCAAAGGATCTACGTACAGCTATCATGAGATTAGTATGCTATTTAACGGATTTGATGCTTGACGCTGAACATTCAACGAACTACAACATGGATATATGTTGGGATGATAACGAGGTTGGAAGAATCACCTTAACCTTAATTCTGTGTGAAATTGCAAGATATTTACCTCCGGAAATTATCCTCAAATGTAACCTCGTGTATGAGGATTGAACACTATCTATTTAGTTTACTATAGGATTATACCATGCATTATTATTAAATAAATACCTGGCACATTGAGTTGCTGTTGTTATTTCATTGAAGAACATCAACGCATGATAAACCCATAAATGCGCGGAAATTATATCATTACTATGGAAAACTAAGCGAAATAGAGTCACGTTTCATTTATATTGTAAAGCCATCCATTTTTTCCATGAACTGAGTGAGGGCGATCAAAGAAATGTCAAGTTTCTGGAGAGGTATCACCCTGGTATCAAATATAGTGTGGGAAAGACAGATGTCCGCAACCTTCTGGAAATTTTCAAATTTCACATCAAAGATAACGATAGATTCTTCTTGAAAGCTCATTAAAAATATAACTATGTGCTCGATACCATTGTTAAGTTGAAGATACACAACGTACAAATTGTATATACTAACAATGATAGCTGCCAGAAATTCGAATTTAGAATTGTCGACCATCTGATTGGAGTGTGGCTTGCCCCATACAATGTCTGTGACAGAAGTTCACCCCACTGTGATTTAGAGGAAGGGAACCAAATTGGAGATACTTTTTTGTAAAGGGAAAATAAAGTACTTTTTGTTTTACACGAGCGTATATTTTTAAGTAAATTTGTGATTTGAGGCTCATCGCATACTCTAAGATGAAAAAATCATATTAAATGTATTTTTTTACAGACAAAAAGTATATTTTATAAAGGTATATATGTTTGTGAATTTGCAGCTTGTTTCCTAATTTGAGATATTATTCAAAAAATCCGTTTCCTTTGCAGAAAGTGCATTTTATTGGTTATCTCTCCACAATCTGTGGTGCCCATAGCATCGCTTCCACCGCTTCCGTCTGAAGATGAATCATCTAAATTAAGGCTCTGCTGCATTCTGAACTTGAACTGGAGAGGGGAAGGTATCCGAATCCTTTTGAGGCTTTTAAATAACACATCTCCTTATTCTTCACAGCTTTGACGGACTTTCATGTCATTTGGGTTCCACTGTTTGTATTTTGGTTGCATCTGCAATATAAAAATAATAAAACATAATTAAATATAAATGTCTTGATACAGGCCCTAATTTGAGATAGTCTCAAATTAGGAACACTTGGGTATCTCAAATTAGGAATTTTCTGTTAAAAAGTTTACACAAGCATATTTCGGTTATATATCTAATAAAATCACAATATGTAAAAGAAAATTAATAAGGTATTTGTAAACTACTAAATTTATATCAGACAATTGTTCTAAGTAACTTACCTTAGTTTTAGTAATCACTTTTCTCGCACTATTAAAAATATTTTCAACTCTGAACAAGTAACAAGTTGTGGCCTCACCAAATCATGTGCAAATCTAAACTGTAAACACATCAAGAATACCACTGCGTCTTAGTTCACAACTTTTTGATATTACTATAAGATGGCGCAACAGAGATACAAAATTACACCACTGTCTCAAATTAGGCACTTGTCTCCAGTTTGGTGCCTTTCCTCTATAGCATGGCAGGGCAAGCTCGATAGGACGTTCAGGTATTTTCATAATATAAGAGCATAGTACAGTATTCCCAGAAGACTATCTATAAAGAATGTTTAGTATTTCCGGCACTAATGTATGAGCTAGTAGCGAAGATCTCACGACTAGAATCCGCCAAGTTGTTTGTGCTGTATCCAGGTCAGAAATATATATCTATATATATATATAGCAGGTGGTACCCCAAGCTGTCATGCCATATATTGTAAGGGTTTAAATAAGGGCACTGTATAGTATTTTAAGACAACTGTCACCAAATGTTTGTCATTTCCGGCGCAAATCTATGCAATGCCATCTGCGGGAGTAGCGAAGGTCTCACGGTCAGGATTTGAGGTGTTTTTATGGTGTATCTAGGTTAGAAATACATGTGTTGCAGGTAGCACCCTCAATTGTCACCCCATATATTATATGGATATTAATTGACGCACGATACAGTATTCACATTCTATAAAAGATGTTCAGTATTTCACGGTTAGAATTTAAATTTTTTTGTTGTGCATCTTGGTTAGAAATATCAGAATCGTATATGTCTTGCAGCTGGCACCCCCAGCTGTCACCTCATGAGCTCTAATGGACGCATGATACGATCGAAGGTCTCACAGGTAGAAATGATAGATTTAGTTTTTCTGTATATGTATATTTGATTGTTACACTTAGTTTTTCATGTATCGATTGTTATATTAATTTTGTATGATATATAACATATATGTTTGTAATTTTTGTACACATATTTTCAAATTAAATTAAATAAGGGTTTTATCAGTACAAATAATTTACAATCAGTTGAAATGTATAGTCAAGGAAAGTGAGGGTAACAAATGGTCAACAAATGCTGATAGGTCTGCCGAATTTGGAAAAACAGTCCGGAGAAAATGCTTATTAATTCCAGAATAATAAGTATTTCGAAAATTACAAAGAGCCCTCTACTTGACCGGACCTAATCTGTTTTTGAAATTTATAATACTCGTATTATACATTACGGAAAAAAATAGATTAAAAATTAATTTTGAGGTTTATTACATTATACGTATATATGTACATTTTCAAAAATCAAATACAAGTAAAAGTGTTTCTCCTCCTAAAAGCTTGCTTATGGAGGACTGCAATGTCATCTAGATTATTCGTGGTTGCTTCCGTGATGATATTGATAATGGGGATAAAATATGCTGGTGAATGAATGAATGAATCTTAAAAATTTTAGAGGTATCCTGGCCACCATAAGGAGCCAGTGCATAGGCCGCTTAAGCGGGCCCTTATGCACCTCTACAATCCTTAAATCACAAGCCTCGCCCTTTTAGCGAAGTTGAGAATCGCCTTGAGTCCAAGCTCCTTGACGTCCTGGGGGTCCAAAGTAATGGACCCCAGTATAGTCTGCCTATAGTAGCTCAGAGCTTCACAGCGACACAAAACGTGCGCCGAGGTCTCTTCCTCTACTCCGCAGCGTTCGCACAAGGGATCCTCAGTCACCCCCATCACGTGCAGGTGACGCCTTAATGTGTTATGGCCAGACAACAGTCCCACCAGCAACCTTAGGTTGGCTCTATCCAGAGATAGGCAGAAGCGTCCATCCCTAGCACTGGGCCTTTCAATGAGCTCTCGTGCCTGGCGAAGATGTCTAGAGATACTTCTCCATTTCTGAGAGAGTTGTCTTGCAACCCACGTCTCCATTTTCCTCCTAGCTTTATGCGCGGTCACTCCTAGAGCTGGCTCAGGACCAACGAGCTTGCTGGCTGATCCTGTTTTCGCCAGAGTGTCCGCCGTCTCATTGCCCCTTATTCCAGCGTGCCCCGGTACCCATATTAACGATACTGGATGCCTCGCTGCGAGGAAATCCAGAGCCTGCCTGCATTGAAATACAAGACTCGAAGTAATCTTACAGGCACTTAGTGCTCTCATTGCAGCCTGGCTGTCGGACAAGATTGTTATTCTTCTCCTAGGCCCACCCTCCTCCAGAATGTGAGATACACAAGCCAGAATCGCAAAGATTTCCGCCTGGAAAATGGTGTTGTATCCAGCGAGAGGCAGAGATAGCCTAGTTCTAGGCCCAGAGATCCCAGCACCTGAGCTCTCTTCGGTGACCGAGCCGTCCGTGTACCAGACCTGCCCGCTCACTTCGGAGAGTCCCCGGCTACCGGCGTCCCACTTATCCCTCGTTGGATACTCCACAATAAACTTACGGTTGAATCGATATTTAGGGGTAATACGATCACCCCGCTTACAAGGACGGGGTCCTCCCTTTCTAATTCGACTAAGATGGCAGTATGCCCCTTGACAGGATTCAAGATAGCCCAGCTGCCCTGACTCCACAGTCGATGAGCGACTACTCTCGCTTCACCGCGGATCACCAGATCCAACGGTTGGAGATCCAACAGAGCTTCCATTGCACTCAATGGCGTTGTTCGCACTGCGCTTGCAATGCTAATATAGGCCAAACGCTGAATTTTATTGAGTTTGGCCTTAGCTGTCTCAGTTCTAATGCAAGGCCACCAGACCAGGGAGCCGTACAAGAGAGATGGACGTACTATCGTCGTGTAGAGCCAGTATACCACTTTGGGTTTAAGCCCCCACCTTACCCCGACAACACGGCTACAAGCCCACATCGAATTGCGAGCCTTGCTAACCTTGTGTATCACATGCTCTCTCCAATTCAGTTTGCAATCCAGGATAATTCCCAGATATTTCACTGACAAAGAAGGTCGGCATGACCAGCCCGTCCAGCCTTCTTCTCCTAGTGAATAGGATCAGCTCGGTTTTTTCAGCATTAACAGAAAGATCGACTTCCCTACACCACGATTCCACGGAGCGCAGAGCGCCCTGCATAATTTCCGAGACTGTTCTACAAAAACGCCCCCTAACTACTATGCTTACGTCATCAGCATAGGCTTGCGCGTAGACACCCATACTGCTGAGCCTAACGAAGAGTTCGTTCATCACGATACACCACAGTAGGGGTGACAGAACTCCGCCCCGAGGGCAGCCTCTAGCTACATGCACGCTGCAGCTTACGTCATTCAGCATAGCTGTTGTTACCCGACCCTCCAGAGTAGATAGGATCCAATCTATTAGGATCGATCCAACCCCGTGTCTAACCAAGGCATGTCTGATAGAGTCGGTTGTGGTGCAATTGAATGCACCTTCAATGTCCAAGAAGGCCACGAGTGCCGCTTCTCGCTGATCTAGAGTCTTCTCCAGCCTACCGACCAGATTGTGTAAGGCCAGATCAGTCGATTTTCCAGCTTGGTATGCAAACTGATTTGCATGAATGACACACCTTTCCAGCGGGCCATCCCTTAAGTATCTATCAACTATCCTTTCCAGTGTCTTAAGCACAAAAGATGAAAGAGTAATCGGTCGAAAATCCTTCGGGCCAGTATATCTATCTCTGCCCGGTTTAGGAATGAATACCACTTTAGCCTGCCGCCAGCTTCTAGGTGTGAAGCCCGTAGCCACACATGCTCGAAACACATTCAACAGGTAAGGAACAACCGAAATCCGTCCCTGCTGTAACATGGCCGGAAATACGCCGTCGAG